CGAGTGAGATCGCAACGCAGCAAAACGCAAAACACAATAGAAGCATAAAGGGATTATAAATATGGATGCTAATGGTTTCCTTACGTGCACGCCGCGAATTTGCCCACACTTTTGTTCAACCCACACACATGGAAGGACGAATATCGATCGTTTGCCATGTTCAGGGTCTCCTCTAATATGAATTCCGTTATATTTTCGCATATTTCCACATTTTCCCATGGTATCAATCGATAAAACAACATAAATCGTTGTATAATAAATTTTACTTCGTTTTGTAGCATATAGATGGCGAAACACACTAAATATCTAACCTAACTAGTGGTTAAGATTAAAACCATAAATAAAAACAAAGTTTCGTTCGTGGAAAATATGCTGCACTTGCTCGTGCGCCATATTTGCGGAATAGTTGAATTGTTTAAGCATGGCGGACATAAATTTCCCGTGCGTGCCCACGTTGTACGGGTACAATGCCCCGTGTGGCTGCGAATTCCAATTTTCAGCAAAACTAGTTACCAGTTACCAGTTACCAGTTACAACTTGGTCGAAATACATAGTATCCTACTATTACTTTCGCAGGGGTTGGAAACTTTGATCAGGGAAGGGATGCTGCAGCTACAACTTGTTTTCGGGATGGTAATGTGTAAACTAGCGCTGATTTCAATAACAAGCGAAACAAACAACAAACAATTGAATTGTCAAATATTCAAACAAATAAATTTCACAAAAGTTAACTTTTTGGTTAAGTGAATTAATGAATACGTAAAGTTCCAGTGGAGTCATAAAAAGTATTTATGGGAATTCGTTAATTAAGTTTTCGCAATTCCCTGGTTCATAACCTACATTCATTATGACCTAACCTATGAAGTCGTAAAATATAAATGTGTATGTTGGGTTGCATACAGTTTTTTTGTAAATTTTCTATTTTTATTAACTTTAAGTCTTTAATCTCACATAATAATAATAATAATAATAATTTCAAGAGTGGAATTGTCAGCTCTCATACTTGTGTTCCGCCGCACATATACTTAGGCAACACACAACGCGACGCAAACTTTCTTAATTACAACCTCTATTGTTTGCCAGTTTGCCGCGACAGGGGGTGACTTGACTGCGTGCACTCTTTAGAAGCTCGTCAACATTGCATTGAGGGCACTGAAGACACACACAAACGATATGAACAGTGCTCCCAGCTCGACATACGAGTACAAAACTTTGAAGTTCCAGTCTTCGAGTTTAATTCGCGCATAAAGTATGTCAAACAAATAACTAATGCTTTTATCTGCGTGAAAGTGACTCGTGATTATTTCTATTTATCTCTGCGTATTGTAAAAGTCTAATGAAATGTTTGATAAAAAAGTTATCAGCGAAAAACACAATGGTGGAGGCGCCGTGCGGAAAGAAAATTGTGTCGGGCTTTTGTGAGTGAACATTCAGATATTGCCGAATCGCACGCACTCTGGAAGCCACATTGATCGCGTGTACAATGTACAAAGTTAAACGAATAAAGGAATATAACAGAACAGAACAAAGCCATTACACAATTTGAATAAAAGACGAATTCTGCGTTGTAAAGCATTTCGCGATTGCTTTTATTTTGCTGTAAAAAATACAAAAATTGCATCTGACAGTTTTACGCGTGTGGATAATTAATGCAAGTGGGTTTTTTTCTTCTTCTTGGTTTGGCTTTATGTTCTAGGTTATACATACGCTCGGTGTAGTTTGCAACCCTTGGGGGATGTTCCGACAAACGCTTTCTAAGCAGTCTCGCGTTCGCATCTGTGAACGACACGCAAACGCGCGTTGTTGTTGCCTTGGGCAGGTTGCTAGGGTTTTGATTAAAACTACTAAACGCTCATTATGTTGGAGTTTGTACTTCAAGTTTACGCCCCCCTACGAAAGTTTAAACTAATTAACATTTTGCACTTTTGGAGATTAGCCACGCATAACCTAAATATCATTTTTAATTTTAATTTTAATTCTAACGCTATTATAATATATTTTCATTAAAAAACGTATTCGCAGACGTGTTGAGCGTTAGGGATGAAAAATATTGCGTGAAGATAAATCCTAGAAGCCGGTAGGTGGTAATGTTATTAAATATTTTCTACAAGATAAAGCTGATGCGCTTAAATTTAAAAATTCATCCGCTTGAAAAATGGGTCATAAGCAACAACTCCCGAGGATATTTTAATAACTAAACATTCGGCGATAACAATACATCAGCGTACGTTCGAATGTTTGTTTTTTGAGGCGGTGTGTCGAAAGTGGTTTCCCTAAGCGTTATGTCCCATCGGGGGCTGAATACAAATGACCTCTTTATGATTTTGCGTGGTTAGAAATGGACATGGAATATATTGGACTGGGGCTGCAGCAGAGGCACGAGACCCTAGAAATTCGAGTCCTAGTTTAAAATGGGATGACATACCAGAGTCCGAAGGGGTTTTAGAGCTTTGGGAATGAAGTGATGCTTCATAAAGTTGCAGTTGCAGTTGGCGGTTGCATATTCTGTGACTCGGACGGGTTTAAGTGGGAAATATTTACGATCTGCGTATTTTTAATTCTGGATATATCCGGGGTAATCTTCTGGGTATTGTAAACAAAAAAAGCTGGAAAAATTGTTTTTTGAAAAAAAAAAAACCTCAAATTTTTCGTTTTTCTGTGTGTTTTTTTATGGTTTCCAAGTATTAAGTATCTAACTAGAACAAGGTTTACCCGTTAAGCTCTTTTAATTGAAAACGGAATCAAACAACATCTCAACCAACACTCAAAAACATCCCTGGAATCAAATGGAATTGCACTTGAAATGAAAGTTTCGCTGTTTCGCCCGTTTCCCCATCCGTGAGTGACTAACTTGTGTCGACATCTACACAATCATCACTACTTCAAGATCCTGCTCAATGCAACACAATCCACCTCTGTAATCCTTCGCTTCTCTCTACGAAAAATAAAATTTTATCTGAACATATAATTGTATTCAATTTTACAGCGTTTTAGACATTCGCAGGCTAATAGCGCGCGCAGAGCATTTTTGAAGAAACTTTTCGTAATATCCTGAAAACGTTTCGAAATTGCTCGCGAAACGATTTCACGCTTACCGTAAAAGTGGAATTGTTCGTACTCGTGCAAAAGTAAAGAAAACTGTTGAGTTCTTTGCTGTGGCTACGGCTTCGAAGAGTCGAAATAAATGGTTGTTACGTAAAAAGTTGTACGTGAACAATACCGCAAGGAAACTTGGCGATACATTGAAGAATTTTAACTGTAAACATAAATAAATGTCACTGGAATGAAAGAGCACTTTTATTTTCTTTACTTCGAGTAAAATTTTCAATTTCTACAGGTTATAGAATCGAGGTTATGTTTTTTTAGGTTAAGTATTTCTTATGCTGTACAAAAATCGATATAAGTTGTCGGTGGAACTAAATAATTTCATAAAATATTTCTTCAGCAACTCGAAGCCAACTTCCCAATCAGTATTCCAAGTATATTCTGAGTCCAGTGGGACGCATTCGGGAGTATCCAATGTGCCACCCAGTTTGTTTAAACTTTAGCTGGGATTTACCCAAGTCATTCTACATCTACCATCTACTCGTATTTTGTAGTATGTTGGTTGGGTTGCCTAGTTTTTGTTACTTTATCTTTATTTGTTCCAATTTTCTTCTTTCTCCTTTTTTTTCTCTGTGTGATCGATTTGCTTTAAACTCAAAAAAAACTTATTTTGATCATTTGCAGTATCCAGAGACTTTCATACCTCCTCCAAGTTTATGTAGAAGATTCATTGGCGCAGAGTACTCCCGGGATGCGAACTTTTTTTACAGTTTGCGAATTTATTTCGCGCGAGTGTTTTTTTATGGCACTTAGGCGGCGTTTAATTTGAGGACTTCTAAGATAATGAACTCCGGACGTTTTGCTTGGAGAAGGTGACAATGAACGCGTCGACAAAGACACTAAATACAAAAGATATCAAAGAACAAAAGCACGCGAAACAAAGACGAGTGGAATTAACTCCAGAGCGCGTACATTTTTCAGCGTTCGGAGTGCGATGTGATCGCTTCAGCATTAAATGTTTAGTATTTTCAAAAGTTTACAACTTTCCTCAGAGTTCGTTTACGTACTCTTATCTCTCAAGATTTCTTTCATCTCCAGCGGGTGGTTTTTGGGTCAGGAAAGATTGTGTGTGCGGAAATTATGAGGTCGTAACCCTTTGACCCGCCTGACTGCTCCCGGGACCTACTTTGTCTTTTGCAATTTAAGATTCTTTGAGATCTCAACTTTTTCTTTCCAGAGTATGATGAATTTCTGCAGTGCTTTCTTTTTATGCGAATCATAATAGTCCGTGGAGAATATTAGAAACACCAGAAGCACTTAAAGGCTTAAACTCTCTTTATCTCTTCTACTACACATATGACTTAGACTTAAATCTCTACAGGTTGTAATTTGTTTACGTAAGCATACATTATCCTTTTCCGGTAGGAGATGTGAGATAAATTGTGGCATAGTAATATATTGCGTCTGGGAAAGCGTCGGGCATAATAAATACGAGGGCTGGAGATGTTGAGAGGAAGTGCCGTAGGAACCTGAAGTGCGTCGTGATTGATTTAAGTGGTATGGGTTGGATTTGCACCGCCCAGGTCTTGAAATGTTACAAATGGCAAGATTATAAACTTTAAAGGCCGAGGGACTTTGGAAAATCTCCGAGGGACACCTGGGAGCAATGATATTCGTAATTATCGGAAATATACTGAGTGTGACAGAAAATTTAAATTTTTAAAATTTTATTCTAAAAACCAATTTTCTAAATGTCAAATAGGGGATTGTTGGGACTAGGAAAGCTATTATATCAAAGTAGGTTCCGAAACCGGGGCTTAACGCGGAAAGCTACACTGATGAAGGAATCTTGTACCAAACAGATTGTAAACCTAATCGTATTGTACCCAAAACACTTTCCCAAGTTCCCCCAAACTCTAATTCTAATTATAAACCATTTTTTGTTGTTGTTTCAGGATGACAATGTGAAGTTACCGAAACCCAGCGAAAAGAAGCGATGGATTCATGACCCAACAAGTAAGTATTTACATTTAACTACTTTTAGTTTATTAAGATGTCCGATCTGTATATCCATCTTCCACGATTTAATTTTATTTACTCGCAGTGTCATTGTGCATTTTCCGGCTTTGTTTTCCCAACACCGGCGGTGTTTGTCTGATTTAAATTAATTCAAATGGAGGTGATTTGTATTCGTCACCAGTGGGGGTAACGTTTAGATTGCGTTTCGTGTTTTTGTCATTTGCTTAATAACAGTCATGCTATTGTTGGCCGGAAATGAAAGAAAATTAAATAAATTTCCGGCAAGTTGCAAGGATATTACAGTGTGAATCCGACACGTGTATATTGTGCACATTAACAATAACATTAATCTTATCGATTTCCCGAATTGTGGAGGCGGTTCTGGTGGTGGCAATAAGGGATAATGGTAATGGGAATGTGGATACATGCTGGTATAATCCTTGTGGATTGCAAAAGTGATTTATTTTTAGCATTACAAGGGGTTTTACACTTTTTTTTGTTGAAATATTGATTTTTAGGTTAAAAATTTCGATTAATTACAAACGATTTATTTCAGGTGATTTGTGTCGACCACTCAACTGTAAGAAGAAGGAAATGTGCCTGTTGGAAGACGCATTCACAGCAGTGTGTGTCTCCAAAAAGGAATTGCAGAAAAACGGGTAAGAAATACGAATAAATAGTGTTTTTCGGTGTCGGACGCCAGCAAAAAAGAACTCCAGAGGGCATTGGGTCGTTACGGAAAAATCGACGTAGCTTACGAAAAAAACCATCCACCCCCTCCGGCTGTTAATGGTATTAAATTTTAAACGACGCAATTCGGCGCAATTCATTATTCCACCAGTTTTGGCCCCACAGAGCGATTTTTTGCGAAACGCCTGGCGCTGCCACCAATCTACTCGTACAAAAGCATGGTTATAAATGAACAAAACGAATTAAACGAATCAAACGTGCAGAACGAAATAAATAAATAAAATCCACTGACGTGAATAATAAATTTTTTGATTCTTTTATATATTTTTTTTATTTAGCGATGTGGTGATACCAAAATCGCCATCCGGAAGCTTCGAGTCAAACGACGGAAACCGGAAGCGTCAGCAACAACAAGAAGATGCCGCTGACTTGGACGACAGCGACGATGACGTATTTTATGACACCGAGGACGATCCCGAGGACGATGCTGACGAAGATCTCAGCGATTCCAATCTGTGAGTGTAGAAGTAAATTTTGTGTGTTTCCCAGTTTTAAATATGGTTGACATTTCGTATTAGGTTTTCGTTTATACTTTATACAAATCTTACCTTTCCCGCTTTGTCCACATCACACGAAAGAGAAAAAGATGGAGTGAAACGCTTTTCATCAGCTTTAAACCCTTTTCGTGGGTGTTGCGCGACGCGTCTCCAACATCCGGAGTCGACGTCGACGTCGGTTAGAGCCCCGCTTAAGCCAGTTTCGACGTAATCCGATTTTCCTGCGGTTTTCCAACCCCGTCGTATATTGCCTCATTCAAACTATTGCTCAACCCTCGCTTTTGAAGGGCTTATATACCGATCTAATCTTTACCTGCACGTGCACCAGAATTTGCACCTTTGAATCATATTGGTATTGGATTTTCGACGAATGCCAACGAATGGAATTTGATTATTTGAGGTTAGAATTCTCCGACTTCAGACCGGAGTTTCATTTATGTATTTAGATATTTCCATCCCATTGCGAGGCGACTGTGGTGCTGCTGATAAATCCTAATTGGGTTTTTAATTGCCAATTTGCATTTTTAAGTGCACGCAACCTCTGCACAAATATCAACAGATATAAACATTAAAACATTAACGCTGCAAGCAAGTCGCATTTAATTGCTGCGTTAAATTTGAGCGCAGCTATAAAAACATTTAACAAAGTTCATTTAAAACTCACTCAATTACGAGCTGTGTAAAAGTCAAACGCAAGAACTCTCAAGGAGACCCGCTGGGTAGTTTCTTCATTATTTGTGTTTACTTTGGTTAACAGTGTTGACTTTGAGGTTAGGTACTCAAATACAACAATAGGATATAAATATAACCTCAAAATATAAAAATAATTCATTTTATTTTATTTTTGCTTTTTTTTTTGTTTTACATTTAAGTGGAAATGGAAAGATAGTGAAAAGCTCAAAGGACCTTTTGTCATTATCCTCTTCGATGCGTTCGTCCCCATTGCTCCCAGTGGTCCTCCCAGAATCCTTCTATCTTTGGAATCCTTTGTTTCACAAACTACTCGTTTTTATAGTGCTGAAACACTTCCCCAAAAATACTGACTTTTGCAAAATAAAAATTTTCCAGATGTAAAACTTGTCCGGTGATTAAACCAACGTTCCTCTGCGGATCGGATAACAGGACCTACAGCTCCTTATGTCGATTGGATTATCACAACTGCATCCATCATACAACGATCCGCGTGATGTGCAAAGGATTCTGTCCGTGTAAAGGTAACTATTTTCATGTCATAAAATGGCCGACCATAAAGTCATCTACTAGAGGGTTGTTAGTTTATCGCGCTTCATCAGCCCTTTATAGAGGATATTACCCGTGATATCAACGAGGGTGCAGAAACAGGGTTTTATTAATTAGACTTGTATGTTTGAGGTTAGGTACTATTAACTTTCAAAAACATCATGGTTAGGGACTTTAATCTACTCGGGTGTGAGGATTTGTTTTTCACGTTTTTTGCACAACGAAGTGCGACGGTATTGAGCAGGAAATAAATGGCGGTCATAAATTTGATATAATACCGTTTGGTGTATTATGAAAACGGGTCTCTTTCCGGCCGAGCGTTTGCTCCTAGGAAGGATCAAACTTATATCGGAAAGGTCCCACTGCTAGGGAAATATAGCCGGGGCGTAAGTCAGTGGGAATCGTCCCATCGGCCGTGTAAGAAGGATGGAAGTGTGGAATTGTCAGGATAAAAGAAAGTTATAGGCACGGGATACACAAAAGAGCTTGCAGCACTCCCCATAGTGGATGCACAAGTCGTTCCGAGTTCAAAGGTTGCTCCAAGGCGTTTTTCGCTCGAATAGCTTCCACCCCTCCTTGTGCTTCGATTCAAATCGATTTGAAACGGTCGATTGAATCTGGAAACACAGACATTTTGAATGCTTTCAATTTTCCAATGATCATTAACGGTTTTATGTTGTTTTTTTCAAGAAACTGACGTGCATTTGCGAAAAAAGCAACGCCAACAGGAACGTCTCAATAGTTTCATGAACAAGTACAAAGCCACGCTGGATAAAACCGGATCCATATCCAATAGCATGACAGCTGAGAAACCGGTACCATCTTCATTGAAGAATGATGTCTATACCTTCACACCACAAGACTTCAAATACGAGAATAAGCATTATAAATACATCAAGTACACAAAGTATAACAACAAGGATAATAACATTTTATATGCCGAAGATAAGGAACACCTTAGAGGTTACAACGATGTCCTTGAGAATAAGATAAACATGGTACCTGCTACACCACCAGGGAAAACCTGTACTCCCAATGCGTTGCAAGCGATGGGGAATCGTCTTTTGGACTGGTTCTCGGTTGTTATGGCGGATTCATCCAAACGACGACGACCCAATCGCAAATCAAAAGGTTTTACATAATTTTAACCATGGGGTACCATCAATTAATACAATAAATGTATTTTAGCTCGTTTTCCCACTGTGTGCAAAGGTGAAGTCCGATGGATGTTCCAACACTTGGATCTCAATGGTGATGGACGATTATCTCTTAAGGAATTATACGATTTGGAACACGATCAGAGCGAGGTATGCCTCAAGCCATTCCTGCAACAATGCGACACCGATCGCGATGTGATTGTGACACCCAATGAATGGTGTCGCTGTTTCCAACGCACTGAGCGTCCCTGTGCAGCTGTCAAGCGTAAGATCACGCCGGAATTACTAGGTAGGTCTGCGATGCTTGTTCTGGTATGACTATTTCTATACTTTTTGTACTGTTTGTGATGGTATTAATCTAGTCATGAACGTGTTAGGAGTCTACGTGCCTGACTGCGATGTGCAGGGGTACTACAGGCCAACGCAGTGTCACAGTGCCATTGGGATGTGCTGGTGTGTCGACAAACATGGCGTCGAATTCGCTAATACTCGCACGCATGGTAAACCTATGTGTGGTAAGTCAAAACATGAAAAATTTTAAAATTTGTTTTAATTTTTTAATTGAATTTTGTTTAGAATCATTATTAAGCAAATCAAATGATCCACCACCAGTAGCACAAGAGTCTAGTGATGATGAAGACGACGATGCGGATCAGGATATTGAAGGAAGCGCAGACCGTCCGGAGGATTATTAAATAACACACAACGTGAAAGTAAAAAATAACAACATTCCATTAAAACATCATCGATAATGTTATTGATACAAGAAGGAAATCAAAGTTTAACATTTATAAGACAACCATATAGCACAAATTCGTAAGCGGAGAAAAATTTGAAAAAAAGTCCTTCAATCACACAGATAAACAGATAAAGGTCAATAATTATGTAAACTAAACCTATGTAATGCGTAAGAGGACGTCATTTGTACTTAATTAATTGTTAAGTAAGCTGTGCAATGTGCAATCCATATATTTGGCTCGCGATACCAACGCAACAACATATGCGCTGAATATAATGTGTAGTTTTGGCAATACGTGTTCATCCGCCTCCCTTTTCCTACCATTTCATCTTCCACACACCAAACACAATCTAGCAAGCCCTCGAAATGATTTAAAATAGATTCTAGACGCTAAGAAGTACTAAATAAAAACACAACGCTTTGTAAGAATGATTCACACGAGGGCAAACATCATAAACATTGATATTAGATAATATAAGAGATGTAAGCTATGAATTTCACACTTTAAATGATACAATGAGGAAAATGTATGTGGACACACGAATTATACGCACACACACGTAAAAACACACAAAACATGAATAATCGACACGAAACCAAGGAATCTTTTTTGCTAAATAGGTTAGTAGCTAAGTGTACATAGTCTTTAGTTAAATTTCACTGAATTGCGTTTGACGTGGTTTTGTTTTGTCTTTGACAATGCTAGATGAACTGTATTTACATCTTTTTGAAAATGAATCTATCTGTCCACGAATTAACGATTTTCTATGCTTGGAATCTTAGGCTCTCTGTGTGTAACAAGAGTGTTTTGACTGGGCCCTAATTTTAGCACTCAAAATGAAAAAAAACCATACACGATACTTGATATTGATGATATTTATTAACTATGATATTAATTGTAATAACGACGATATAATGATGATAATGAATGCAATTAGTTGATATTTACTGAATAAACCCCTCTCGATTGTATATCAATGATGAATATTATATTCTATATTAAATGAGATTTTATTTTAGATTGCAGTGCATTACAAATATCAACATATAAATATATATTGCATTCGTTAGAACACAGCATTGGTTAGAATTTCGATATTTCGATTTTACACACATTGATTAACCCCGTTTGATTGATGAATGATGATCATCATCTTCTTGCATAAAATAAAATAAAATAAAAATGTGAAAGCGGCACTAAATTATGTTCCTATCAGCAGCGCGTACATAACATCGTCGATCGAATGGGCGTAATCGATGACAAATGAATCTATATATGAATATATTACAAATATCTATATGATAAATATATGATAAATAATTAATTGTTAGATAGAGAGGAATGTTTCGTTTCTTTGATTCGTAACGTGTTTCATATTGAGTAATAATTATTTTTATGTCGGTGATGATGTAAATGCGCGAAATGTAGTAGATTATTGAATAAACATATACACAAACATTAATTAAGTATATTAAGTATCATGTGGTTAAAATGGAGTTTTAGTCACGAGTGTTTAATCAATTGAGTGAATAACAACGTTTAGTCACGTGATGCTTACGTTATTTTTTTACTTTTACTTTATTTCTACGTTAAGTTTCCGTATTTGAACTTTTTATTTTAAAATTTCAAAAGTCGTGACTAAAACCCATGACTAAAGTACTTTAGTCACGACTTTGGCCGTACGTTTTAAAATACCACTTTTTATGCCTCAAAACCGTGAAAACCTGGCGTTTTAAAGATGAAAATAAAAAAAAATAACTAATTTGTTTATCTCTACTAGTATATCCATAGCAACACCCTAAATTTTAATAAATATTAATAAATAATTTTGATTTGAAAACGTCATCCTAAAAATTTCTAGGTTTTAAATTAAAGTGTAGTAAAAAAGCGTGTAAAATGCACGTTTTCTATTAAAAATCTCCTAAAAAAATGCTCGGGGTGTGAAGATGATTGCACGCAAACGTTTGAATCGCTGCGATTCAAAAGACATGCATTCTTTGATCGAATCCAGCGGTTATAGCAGTGGATTCGCCAAGCAGTCAAGACGCCTGCAATCATCCTCATCTGTGAACTACGACTCGAGAGCAAACCCCGATGAAAAATGCAGGTTCAGAGCACGATCTTCAGTAGCATGTACTAGTTTATCAGAAACCGCAAATAAACCAAGTGTTGAAGAATGTAGATCCACTCAAACAATCACCTCGTGGATCATGTCCAATAATATGACCCGATTGAAAACAGCGTATCGATATTTAACACCTATCATTGATGATATCATCAGTCGAGCAACAAGTTACACACATCAAGAATTCAAGGAATTGTTAATCAAAAGACAACCGATTTGTTCTATAAGTTACACGCAATACATCCGCGCTTATCAAGCATCAGAAATCATCAATCAAGTCGGTGAAGAATTGGGTTCAGTGAATAAAAATTTACCCTGCGAGGTGGATTTTACAGTTAATAATGTAGCAACTATAAAAAGAGAAGATTTATTAGAAAATATTGAACGCATGGCAGATAGAATTTTCATCGATCGTGATTTAATGAAACAATTGGTGAATCTACATGAATTAATCACAGAAACAATCAGAAAATTAAAAACTTCTTTAGAGCAAGTTAGTGTTGAAGGTCTGGGACAGGATACAAATACACCCGATGCCGCCAGTTATTATCAAGATAACTTTGAATACAATCAAGGAAAAATTGATAAAGATGCCATCCGGAAACATATCGCGAAACATTTTATAGTAATAGGTGAACCTAAAGATAAAGGCTGTCATTGTGATGATGGACCTGTAAGCAGTACAAATATTGACATCAAACATAATAGTATTGTCATGGATGCACAGATTGATGAATCATCACAACCGTTACAACAGAAACAAAAACATAATTATGGTTCAGGTGGTACTCTTATGAATTCAGTGGATTCACAAAAGTTTACAAAGAAATATGTCACACGTACAGGTGATTATTTATTTGATCATCACTCTGAGAAGTTCTCAATTGATGAAATTCATGATTTAGCGAAGAAAAGCGCTCCCTACACCGTCGGAGTGCGTAGATATGAATTAAAATGTAATGAAGGTGTGACTAAAGCATGTGCAGTTCTCCCTGAAGAAATCCAACAGGAACCTTTACATAATTCTGAAGAACACGATCCGAATCATGTACAAAATTATTATGATATTGATGATGATCCTTTGGTGTTAGCTGAATCAGATAGCAATCAAATGGTGCATTATGAAAATATAGAACCTGATATAGTGGCACCACATGAACATGAACATGAACATATTGAGAGTGAAGAACAAATTCAAGAGCATATAATGGCTCCTATGCCTTCACCTGCACGTAGTCCTATTGCTAGTCCTTATCAGTCTCCCCGGACGACTGATGCAGGACCTAATTTTTGTAATAAAACTTGTTCGGCAAAAGAAGAATCTTGTTCGAATGTTACACCTTTACTTCGTGAGATGATGGCGAAAATCGCTGAACAATTGATGATTTTAAAAGAAGATCAGTTGATTGATTTTGAAAATAAGGAGTTTACACCCGCGGAGTCTCCGGCGGTTGAAAAGGAGCATTATATTATGCAGGAAGTTATGTATTGTCTACAGGCTTTGGAAGATGCGCAGGAGAAGTTGATTTCTATGAATTGGTTAGAAGTTAATTCCGAGATGGCGGATACTCCTCTTGGGTGTTGCTATAGAGAATATCCACATGTACATTCAAAAGTTGCTGGGATACCTATTATTGTAAAAATATCACAGGTAGGTTAAAAAAAAGAGCACCGTGACTAAAGACCGTGAATAAAGTACTTTAGTCACGTCCGTGTGTAAAGTACCACTTTTCGTGTCTCAAAACCTTAGAAAAAGTAAAAAAAAACTTTTTTAATTTTTTAATTTTTAGACGTTGTTAGATTTATTAAACACTGGATATCCTTACGGTCCAGGAAAAGTAATCCCTGAAGAAATTATCCAAGTCGCTGATGAAGACACAACGATTAAACCAGTGACAGCAACCAGAGGTTGCGGTTGTAAACCACCGACTTTCAAGAGTCTCATCCGAGAAAAATGCGCTTTAGCAAAAATGATCAGCTCCCGCAACAGATTCACATCCCGTCATAATAAAGAAAAAGACAAGGTTGTAATGATGACAGTAGATCCAATGATAAACCCAATGATGGATCTGTTCGGTATGAGTGCAAATTCACTCCTAGCAGAACCACCTCCGGCTTTCCAGGAGTACGAACCTGATATCTTTCAAGTAATGCAAGTCGCTGATAGTAACACCAGTTTACCCTACGCTGTCACACGTGCCTCCCTACCAAATGTAACCATATGCCCACCGATGGACATAGAAATCTCCCAGTTTAACATGTCCGTGCGTAATTCCATCGTGGATCATCCAAAACCACGCATTCAACGAGAATTACAAGAGATAGGTATGCATAATTTACTGCGGGCTTCTGTTCCTGCAAAATGTTGTATGCCTAATGTCCTAAATCGTGTTGATGCCGATGATGAACCATATCATGCCAGTCTGAATTCACTTCCGCTCACCACTTCGGATTTGCAGTTGATCGTCGATGTCGTCCAGCAAGATACTATTATGGCAAAGCACTGTAATTACCATCCGATCAACTTCACTGCTACCATTCAATTCAGTTTTGAACGTTACACCAATTTTCAGGAGCGATTGGTGCCAACGTGTCGCGTGTATCTCGTCTATTATTTTGAGATTTTCAAAAAAGACGCTGATTCCACTGAGGTTATGGGGAACTTGAATGATAAACATCAACGGGGAATAACTTCACATCATAGTCATCGCAGGAAGCAACGATTTGAGCATCGATATTCAGCGCCATCTACGAAGAGTAGCTATGAGCGTAAAAGTCTTGTAAGCGATTTTTTTAAACGTTTTATGTTCTCGACGCAAAGTTATAATAATGGTGAGGATGCAAGATACACGCATCAAGTGAAAGTTAATAAAAGTAAACCTAAGAGTTCGAAATGTAAAAAATCTGAGAAGGATTACAAAAAGATTCATACTGTGCCTAAACGGTTGAAGAATCAAAGATTACAAGCTTGTTCAGCTGAATTTGAACGTTTTGGTTCACCGAGTGAAGAAGTGAAAAGAATTGATGATGGGAATTATACAGAAATGAATAAGATTTCGTCTTCGATGAAGAATTTTACTGTTGCGACGATAACTCCGACGAAATATAAGTTTAAAACACGGAAGGAGAGTGAAAAAGACTTGCAGAATTGTAAACGGAGCAGTGTTTCTCCTTTGAATCAGTTTAAACAAAAAGTTGCACAATCTACACTTGCAGAAAGCAATAGTAAGGAGACAATTGCTGAATTTGTGCTGTTAACACCGCAACAATCTAAAAGTAATTTTGTTTTTTTAATTTTTGGAAGATTTTAATTTTTTTGTGTTTAGATTCGGAAGAAGAGAAAAAATCAGAAAAAATGAAAACTAGTAAAGATTTTACAACCAGCACGCATAATTTGGAAACCATTTATGAAAGTGAAGAGAAATTAATATCTAAAGGTACTAATATTGTTTATATTTAATTTAATTTATGAAAAAAAGTTTTTTTCTACTTTCATCTATAAAACACTGCTTTCTCGAGGTTGAAACACAAAAAGTGGAACTTTAAACACGGATAACCAAAACTATGACTAAAGTACTTTAGTCACGGGTTTTAGTCATGGGGTGGAGCTTGTTATTACTACTTCTTAATTCGTTCATTCTTCTTTTCTACTTCTTCCAATTTTTCCATGGTTTTAAAACATAAAAAGTGGTACTTTAAAAGTGGACATCCAAAACCGTGACTAAAGTACTTAAATCAGAGGGTAGAACTTACGTGTGCATATTTATAATATACTATTTTTTATTAACCTAGAAATGTTAGATTCTACAACTCCACAATCAACTTTCTTCGATTTTCTTCGTTCTTCGGAAATATCCAAATCCTTCCGTCGTTTCATCGAAAGTGACGAAGCTTTAGAAATCTTTGAAAAAAACCAAATGGAACCCGAAGAGTTCTGGAGCACATATTTCAAAATGCGTCGTGAATTAACTCGCACACCTCCAAAATGCTGTTCGGTAACAAGCGCAGGTGACTCAGAAATACTCGTATCTCACACCGAAGACGATCACACAACAATCGAACCACAACAAGAATTAACCATCAAAAAACCAACTAAAAAACAATCACGCATTCCTCAGAGAATACGCACTCCACAAATTGTAGACACAACAAGTGATTTCTCCATCGATAAAATTAAAATCTATGAATCTGGAAATTCTAAAATGCAATGCGCTTGTAGTCACCTCTCCGTCATGTCAAACATACAGAATTCGCCATCACCGAACAAGACGAATATTTACTTCTCGGATGTTTTAAATGAAACCGCTGCTAAGCAACCAGCAGCTGAAGCGACATCAATGCACTCATTGCGTGTGTTGGCGAATAAAAACGGCCCGGGATACATCACGATTCTACATCCGGCATGCGGATGCCCGGAAGTTTCCATCTTTATTCCTTGCTACTGCGATGAGAAAGGTCCGAAACGCGCAGGATTAACAACCAAACACATGGCACGCATGGCGGCGAACACGAACGGCAGACATATTCTTTTACCAGCGTCTTGTCGAATTCCTCGACTGCGACACGAAACACCAAACAAGATGAATACGAATAAACTACGCAGAGTGCCTGAAAAGTCGCGATTCTAAGTATTACGATTACGAGTAAACTGTACATGAAGTAAATCTAACCTCAAATCAAAATCTAAAATATTTTTCTTTGCGTAAGATTTAAAAATATTACACTCCATTGCGTTTCTTTTCAAGTTTCAGTACCAATAGTATTATCCCCTCGTGCTTTTCAAAATACTAACAATGGCGGATCTTTCTTTCGGTGGCTACCTGGCTTTATTTTTAATTTCTTGTGTGACCCCCGGACGGCAAACGTGTGCGCACACCGGTAGGCAACACAATGCAAACCTACCCTTCGTGTATTTAAATTCGAAACTTCAAGACGTCCAAATTGAATGGAATCAAAGTCTTGCGTCAGCAAGACCCTCGGAACGGTCGGCGGGCATTGAAGGTGACTCTTTCTCATCGAATTGAATGCGTTCTATAGGAACAAAGGTTTATGTGTATCACACGTGCTCCTAAGTCAGCTGCGTGCTGAGATGGTTTTAAGAATAAGACTCGTGCCAACACTTTTGGTTTCTAGGGTTGTAAAATTGAGAATTCTTGGATTTTTATGGCGCAGATACTTAAGTAGACTTGAATTGAATAAAATTTATCTGTTTTTGTTAACTTTTAATTGAAATATTTATTTTTTTATTTGTTTTTTATTTTAATCTTTAATTAGATACTTTTTCTATGGTTTTGAGACACAAAATGTGATATTTTAGACACGGGCGGCCAAAGTCATAACTAAAGTACTTTAGTCACGGGTTTTAGTCACAATTTTAGAAATTTTAAAATTAAAAATTCAAATATAGAACCTCAACATAGAAATAAAGTGAAAGTAGAAAAAATAGCGTCAGCATCATGTGACTAAACATTGTTAAACACTCGATCAATTAAACACTCGTGACTAAAACTCACTTTTTACCACTTGATACTAAATACACAATTATATATTTTAGCTTAATTTGTAATTAAAACATTTTCATGTTATTTATTTTTATTTCCCACGATTTTTACTTGAAACTTATGCCGGTACTCTTTGATTGTCATTTAAATCTACCCCATGGTGGTACTACTAGATCAACTCACAGCAATAAATTTTGTACATTTCAACAGAATAGATATAATTATAATAGATGACTATGATGGTGGTGGCACGCGCCATACGTTCTTAATTGAAAGTGAAAGTGCAGCACGCACCCCACGCATTTTATTCTTATCACAAAAAAAAATTATGCGGGTAATACTCGGGAATGCATAGAACTCTGCAGATTTCAATTTACTCGAATATTTACAAAATCTTATTTTTAATTTTAAATTCAACTTGTAAACTCAACAATGCGTATCTCCACTGTATGAAAATGTTTATATCCGGATGTAGGGGTGAACAAGGCGCTTATTTTGATAGGGAATAATGAAAAAAGAGCGGAAAGTGTTTCATTTCACTACACACCCTTTGAAAATAGAGAAATTTGTGTTAAAAGGTTATTTCCGGTTAAGATAACCTGATAAATTCATAAAAAGCGTATAAATGTTTGATAAAACTCAATTTTAATTTTAATTCGATCCTTTTTTATTCAACCCCGAAAAAAAAAGTGTTGCTCACGTGCTTTATGTGGTGGTAGGCCCAGCATGCATTCCCACGGTCACGCTGTTTGGTTACCCTGTATTTTGGGCTTCGAATTCTTTTGTCGTCGATGCTTACTCACGTGTAGAGTTCTTTTATACTGAGATTTTTTGCATATTGTGACATTTTACTTAAAAACTCAAAAACTTCAAATTTTAAACCTGCAGCTGCAGTATATTGCATTGAGATGTTGTTTGTGCACCCTGCACATTGTCAAAATGCAAATCAAAAAACATGCTCGAAATATTCTCATTCTCACAGTTGCAGCAGGTAAAAAATAAAACAGGAATGAATTTAAACTCGTTTTTCGTTTGTGCAGCGCGCAGGATTGCAAAAGACTAATAATAATTTGCTTGTCCAGCCTTACGACATCATAAATCCCACGGGAACTAGACTGGAATTACGTGCAAGCCCACCATTAAGATTCAGGGTGAGTTTTTAACGGCCAGAAAGTAAAACCAGAATTGGGGCGCTTAAGAAACGATCCTCAAAGGAGGGTGATCTAAAAGAATATCACCCAGACATAATTCAACGTATTTTCGTGTATGGGCCATCTTCTGGAGCATCTCACCCCTAAACCTCTAAAATAAACCGTCATGGACGAATTTCAATTCATCATTGGTATTGCATCATAATTTAACGGAAATCGTCTGCGAAATTTAAAAAAAATCAAAAAATTAAAAATTTACTTTTAAAAATTTAAAATTCTTGAAGATTACGATCGCCCAGCATGTGAGTAATAAAAATACCCAAACATTGCCCACCGGAAGTGCGACCACAATGTATGCCAACTTAAAAACTCACGGAATAAAGCCCTGTGACGCCGGAAGCGTGAGCGCTTTATTCTGTACGAGTAAATCACTAAGCACGAATTTAATTAAAGAATTAAATAAAAATGTAATTATATGGTGCAAAACGCTAGGTGGTCGCCATTTTCTTTTTTAATACAATTCATAGATGTTTGCAATAATAGGGGTGATTTTCTATAGCATTTAAAAAGGTGATGGATCATATTTTTGAATTTGTCCCACGGTACACAACATTAAGCAAATCTTAATTTCTTCATCCCCTTTTTAGAAGATAAATTCCCTTGCATGTACCATTACAATAAAAGAAATCACAGAGTGTTTTATATCCACAAAAATAAAAAATTTTATTTATAAAAATATGAAGTAAACACCTTGTATTAAATGTTTTTGTAGTCTGTACCTTTAATCCTCAACCAGTTTACCTTTAAATTTGTTCTAGACGATTCGTAATGTTTCTTCAAGTTAGGGTTGTGTGCAGCATTGGATTCCCCCTCATACCAGCATGTTTTCATGGTGAGTGCTTCTTACCCACGGTCAACAAGTCGTTTGACTACTGGTGGGGTACGCTTAGGGTGCGAAATAAAGGGGGCCGAAATAAAGTAAAAGAAGGGGAACATTTTGTATATAAGCAGGGGATACCGATGGCAAACTCATTCGAAATTTGAGTTTCGTCCAGTGAAGAACAGTGAGTCAGCGTTTACTCTGCTAAGCATGGGCTACCTTCATCAGTTCTATAGATGTGGTATGCCCATGCTTTAGCAACCACCTGTGAAGAATATAAATATAAAATCAACAAGTGTTAAAAGTGTTTTTCGAGAAAAATTCGACAAAAATTTAAAAAATTACTTTTTCAAGTTGAAATTTGTGAACAATTGTTAACAAAATAACAAAATACATTAAAAATGTAAGTTTTATTTTATTTTATTATTTCTGAAGCAATAAATACAATTTTTTTTTGTTTGATTTATAGTAAAATATCATCATCAACATGGTTCCAGTAAGAAAAATGAAGAAATCAAGAAGAAGATGTCATAATAATTATTTATCAACCAAAATATTACACATCGATATGTTTTATCTAATTGACAAAGAAGGTATGATTAAATTTATCATTTTTTTCATAAATTTTCGTCTAATTTTAATAATTTTTGTGTAGTTTCAGATCTTGCCCCGGAAGGATCTCATCATCATCATCATCATCACCAACACTAAACTATCATCATCCACATCATCACATCATCAATACGCAAGTACCAGAAGATTCCACATCATTCATCAGCAGTTATCATCACCAAGTCAATGGCACCAAGACTCGAGGTATTTACAAACATATATTCATCGCTATCTCAAGCGCTCAAACCACCATTTCATCAATTAATCAATTAATCAACAAAACACACACTACTACTACCCAATGAACAAATTTGAAAGTATTACATGTCACACACATAGACTACACCCATCTGAATTTTCGGCTTTGAAACAATTTCAAAATCTACAGCTGTGCTTGTGATAAAAGCGCAAATTTGTTACGTTTTTTGTTACAACTACTACTACTGTTACTGTTAAGTTTTCGTTATCGTTCTCAAATGTTTCCATCAAAGCAGGCGAAGTTACCTGAACTGAAACTATTGTTGTCACCGGCTTATTACATAAAAATCGCACACAGAAAAATGATTACATTCCGTTTTTGTTTTGTTTTGTTACAACTGTTAAGTTTTTGTTTGAATTCAATTTCCGGGTGTAAAGGAACATCAGAATCAGAATCCGAAAATAGGCAGTTATGAACAGAGAAAAAATGGATAAAAGGGGAGAAGTTGTTACGTTCTTGTTGAAATTATTGCTTGTTTCGTTTTGTTTTTGTTTTTAATGCGGCAGTTGTCTGTTTCTCGCACCAGTTGAAGTTATTTGTTGCACTTTTTATTAAGTTTGAATCGTTTTTCTTTTCTTTTTATCATTTTTGAGTTTTTAAATTTTCTATTTCGTATTATTATGTTTTAATTTGGCGAAATGTTTCTTTTTAGTTTTTGTTTCTGTTTTGTTGTGTTTGAACATAGCCAAAGTGCCTAAAATTTCAAATTTACTTCAGTTTTGTTTAAAAATTTCAAGTTTTTTTTCAATAGTTGCATGTTTTCACTTTTGTTATCATCTGCATTGTTTAAGTTTTCACTTATTAAGTTTTAACATCCTTAAAATTCAGTTTTGTTCATTTTGAAATTTTTGTTTTGGTTGCATGTGTTTTTATTTCTTTAAATTTTTCTCATTTTGCATGAATATTTGTTCATTTAAACATTTTCTATTTGTTAAGTTTAATTTTGGTTTACATTTTCTATAGTTTTGGTTTAATTTGTTTGTTTGTTTGTTTTGAATTATAATTTCATTATTTTTTATAAAAATTACAAGAATTGAAAGAAAATCGGAAAAAAAGCGGAGAAAAAATAGGTTAGAATTGGTTAGGATTAAAATACACTAGATTTATAGGTTAACACTTAGGTTTTGTAATCGTGTACGTGTTCGTGTTTAATTTCATTATGACTCATAATTATATTACTCTTATCAGTTAGGTAAATATAAGTTAGGATGATAAATTCCGGTAACTCAAAGACACTTTTTTAATATTTTTTATATTAAAACTCGTAACAAGCCAACAATTTATATAATTCCTTTAATGCGTGTTTTTGGTGTTCGTGTGCCTTTTTTATTAATCAATATTGACATTCAATATCAGCGCATACAAATAGAACGGCTGTAAACAACAAAAACACATTGATAACACTCACTTTCTCAGAATTTTCACATAAACTTTTACTGGTTTTATTGACAAGATGCCTCAAAACGAATGAAAATTGACCATGAAAACCCTTCATTCGTTTTTTTGGCACTAGAAGTGATTTTTTTCAATATTTATACAACACAATCAACAAATATACATTTATTTGTAACAGCAAACAAACTACAAAGCTGATATTGAATTAGTTGATAAATTATTTTATGTTCAATTTAAAAAATATGATAGGATTATTTAAAACAAACAAAAAAAAACTTTAAAAAACTTACAAAAAAATCTGTGAACACAAAAAGTGGGAAAATTACAAATTAAAATTTGATTGTAAAACTTATTCAACGCACAACAATTTTGTTTATTTTTTTATTTTTATTTCTTTTTATTTATTTATTTTTTGCTTAAATTTTTGTCAAATTAAAACATTGCGCCTTTATTTTAATTTCAACTTAGTTTGCTTTTATTTCTTTTTGTATACTTTGTTTTTATGCGTTATCTATTATTATTTATTGTTATCGTTTATGTTTATGATATGATTTATTTCTGTTTTTGTGCGTATGGAGTGTAAAGAATGATCCATTCACCGGTCATCTAAGTTCCCCAAAAATTCTTTTCATTATGTTCGACTATGAACGACGAGAAACGTTCGTTTATTGTGTCTTTATTATTTGTAATCCTTAATGTATCCATGTATAAGTGTGTGTGTATTATAATTCTATATAATTATATAAATAAATGTGTGAAAATCGTAAAATGTCTTGTTTTTCTTTTTATGAAAGTGACTTCAATTATAAAATAACTATTTTTTGACTATATCCACATTTAAAGCAACACTTTTTTTCGGTGTTGAGACATAAAAAATGGTATAATGGTATAATGGTTTTGCCTGCGAAAGAATAAGAGAACACAAATATACGAGTATAGTGTTTCCAATTATCTTCGTCTCCCATTTATGCGATGCTTCGTTGCTTGCCACAAGACACTTGATTCCGAATATTTTCTGAATATACTATAATAACGATCTTCAAGTATGCCAAAAACCAATACCGATAAGTGTCGTGAATATTCGCAGCAAAATATTAAAAAAACTTTTACACCTGATTCCAATATTATAATAAATAAACCCCAAAATTATCCCACTTCTGATACCACTTTCGTCTCATTCTCTCGCAGTGCAGTGTTCTGAAGGTTTCACTTCTACCGCGTGTGAACTGCACACAAGACGACGATTTTTGATAATTAATATTTTACAATTGCGAATATCTGGTAAACTACAAAGAGATCAGAATGGAACGAATTGCCGCGTCTTAATCTACGGACTATTCTCTATAAGATAGGACAGTTAAAACGGAAATCTGAGAGATGAAATTTTAAGTCTTAAGAAAAAATTGCTAAGGGGGTGCTTGATACTTTTTTCGACGATTTTTGATAATTAATGTCTCTTAAACTAAAAGCCTATATCTCTTAAACTAAAAGCGATAGCTACCAACGAATTGTTGATTATGAAAGATTGGAAAACCCTCTATCAGATAAAAATATAAAATAATTATATTTTCTACAGTACATGGTCGAAAATCGCGACTGAAAGTGCTAAAAGTGACATTTTCCAATTTTTGCCCATTTTATTCAATCGCGAATATCTCGTAAACTAAAAGAGATAAATAGGATCTGATCACAGCGTCTTAATCGACGGACAATTTTCTATAAGATTGGATAGTTAAAACGGAGACCTGAGAGATGAAATTTTAAGTAACTAAAGTACTAAAGTCACAAGTTTTTGTATTCAAATCTATTTTGAGAGATATAAAGGAAACTCAAAATAAATTGCAGAGGCAAGAAATGTTGGTAAAAGCATATAATGTACATCAATTTGCTATGCAGTGAGTATAAACAATTATAAAAAATAATAGTATATTTAGTATTAAGTAGTATGCTTTACCCCGTGACTAAAGTACTTTATAAACAACAATAGTATATTAAGTATAAAGTACTAAAACCTGCGACTAAATTACTGTAGTGTCGGTTTTTGTATTTCAAATCAGGGAAAACACTACCGCTGTAGAAGTAGCAAACAAAAATGAAAACATATGCAGAAAAATGTATTTTAGTGCTTGGAGTGGAGTTGCTAATACTTTCAAGTGGCCTCTAATGGTGCAGTATTTGACATCTGCTATTATTATTGGATTGATTATTATATCGCAATTAATTGTATGTGTTTATTATAAAATTGCTTTTTTAATTATGCTTGTAATAAATGTTGTAGAAATTTGATTTTGTATCAATAGCTCATATGTTTATCTATATTATTGGAATTTGTTTGTTTGGATTTATGGGTGAAGAAATGAAGAGATTGGGCGAAGAATATGAATATGCGACGTTCTATTCAATTCCTTGGGATGGCGACGTGAAAACTGCAAAATTTTTCATATTTATGAATTTAAATTTACCAAAAGTGTTTGAATTACCTTTAGGTAATTATGCTGTCTACAGTAATCCACTTGCACTTCTGGTAAGTATTAATTATATTCATTAATAAATAATTAATATGGTTTATTAATTATTTTAGATTTTAAAACTGTTTATTCTGTTGTTATGTTATACATTAATGAACTTAAAGGTATAAAAATGTGAATCGTATTGAAGTGAGTTAAGAATAAATAAAAATTATAACTAAGCAAAATAAATTAATAATAAAATCGTGCATATATGAATAAATTAACAATGTGCAAATTGATAAGAAATAAAACAACGGTTGATTCGAATGATTCCACTGAATACTTAATAAAATTACTATTATTTAGTTGCTAATTGTTGTTGTTGTTTTATCGTTGATTAATATCTTGTTTTATATTATCTTGAGCATCATCCCTAAATATATTAACAAAGAATCCAGCATCATCATTTATTTCAAATCAACTGACTATCTAATTGTAATCCAAGTAGCTTATACTAAATATCAAAAAATAAAGACAATAAATAAATAAATAAATAAGCAAATCATTTCTGATGCGATGGTAATTGCCTGATTATCTGGCTGATACTAACGATTAGTCAGAATATAATTTATATACGAATAGTGCTGTTTTGGGTTTAAAATATTATAAAGATAATTATTAGCTACCAAAATATACCATGTGGCTAAAACGTGATCAATTTCTCGCGTATAAAATTGCTGAATGAATTTATTGGCCTAGCAATATCCTACTACACCATAGCGTATATTTGATTTACAATTTTGCATTTTGTATCGTTACTGGAGGCAACATCGCCTATTTGATCAATTTACATCGTAAGCAAAATATAGTTTCACTCGATTTTTAGCAAAATATACAAAAATAACATATTTTTTCAAGTGTCTGGAGCAAGTTTCAGTCAACTAGCATTAAATCTTTCATGGCTAACATCATTATCATACGGACATTACGTCACTTATGCAGTAAGACATGCATCAAAAACCGGACCAAACCTATGGCAATTTATCGAAGACAATCCCTTATTTGCATATCCACCTAACAGGCTAAGAAAACTAATATATAATCACACATTTCTGGTGTATGTTATTCTTACATATCAAGCCTTACAATGCATCTTAGGAATTCTCTTTTATGAATTCAGAAATGACGGATTGGTATATCCAGTTGTACGTAAAATTAAATTTTAAAATTAACTTTTATTAAAATTTTCTTTATTATTTCAGTATCTCTACATTGATATAAGCAAATGGCCTTACCGTCCGGTGTTCCATTTATTGTTTGTGTGTGTGACAACGTACATTTCAGTGGGAATCTTGATAACATTTTCTTTCTTTTTTATTAATGAATCTCGCATACAATTGTTTGACTGTATTCAAATTTATCTTGAAAGATATTCAGGAGACTCAAAATAAATCACAGAGGCAAGAAAAATTGGTAAAAGCTTATAAAATACATCAATTTGCTATGCAGTGAGTATAAAATTTATAAGAATAACAGTGTATTAAGTATTAAGTGGCAAGCACTACCCCGTGACTAAAGCCCGTGACAAAACTACTTTACTCACAATTTTGCCATTTCAGTTGAAAATATCACTTTTGTGATTCGAAACCCTAGAAAAACTGACTATTTAAAAGTAGCCGTAAAATGTGAATAAAAAAAGCATTAAAAACATATTTTAGTGCTTGGGTGAAGTTGCTAATATTTTTAAATGGCCACTGATGGTGCAGTATTTGACCTCTGCTATTATTATTGGATTGATTATTATATCGCAATTAATTGTATGTGTTTAATATAAAATTCATTTTTTAAATTATACATGTAAGAAATTTTGTAGGAATTTGATTTTGTATCAATAGCTCATATGATTATCTATATTACTGGAATCTGTTTGTTTGGATTTCTGGGTGAAGAAATGAATAGATTGGGCGAAGAATTTGAATATACGACGTTCTATTCAATTCCTTGGGATGGTGATGTGAAAACTGCAGAAATTTCTCATATTTATGAATTTAAATTTGCGAAAAGTGTTTGAGTTACCTTTAGGTAATTATGCTGTCTACAGTAATCCACTTGCACATCTGGTAAGTATTAATTTTATTCATTAATAACTAATTAATATGGTTTATTAATTATTTTAAATTTTTAAAAGGTTTATTCTGTTGTTATGTTATACATTAATGAACATAAAGGTATAAAAATGTGATTATATGAATAAACTAGCTGACCCGGCAAACTTTGTTCCGCCTCGCTTTTCACGTGCAATTTCTTGTTCTTCTTCAGTCCTTTCATTCGCAATCCTTCAATCCTAGTTGCATTACGGTTTTGTCGGATAAGATTTGATTGTTTTGGTCGCTGCATGTTGAGTGGGAAGCTACGAAGCATCGCACAAAGAAGAGACGGAGAAAACTCGTTTAGTATCTTCAAAGAAGTTTTCATTTCAAAAGTATTAAAAAGTATCCTACACTTACTAAGTCTTATTCACACAAACACATCAAAACCGGGCAACTTCAACCAACACGTACAAACCCACGCACGTCTATGCTTAGGGGGAAGCTATGAATTGCACAAAGGGCAGACGGAGATAATAGAAAACATTATATTTGTGGGCTCTTTTTCTCCAGTAGGCTAAACCATGTAAGCGAATATGTTTGTTTCCTTTTAGTGTCGTTTAGTGTTCTCTAAAGGAGTTTTCACTTCAAAAAGTATCCTATTACCTTCTCCTGGCCCTAAGCTACCTCTCCATCAATTTTTAGCTAAATTGGATTAGCCGTTCTTTAGTTATAAAGGAGTTAACCAACACGACTTTCTTTTATATATATAGACTAGTTAACCGGGTAAACGTTGTTTTGCCATATAAATTATTTCTAGTTTCTAGATAAATTTTAGTGTAGACAAAAAGTAACTTACCTATTATAAAAAATAGGGGTTGGTGATAAGAAACCAAAAATTTAGGGTTGTATGTATATTTTAATGCCACATTAAAAAAAAAACAAAAATTTTGACCAAAATTTAAAAAATTAAGGGTGAACAACCCTTATCACTTAGAGATATGAAGTTACCGATTCTCAGACCAACTGAATACGCATATAAAAATTTTCTTTGAGCGGTATGAAAAATGATTAAATTACGAAAATGGCTATAAAGAAATAGGGGTTGGTGATAAGAAGCTAAAATTTAGGGTTGTATGTATTTTTAATTCCACATTATAAAAAAATAAAAACAAAAGAATTTGTCCAAAATTTTAAAAAAGTTAAGGGTGAACAACCCTTATCACTTAGGG